ATCTTCGATAAATCAAGATAATCAAGTAATAATCAAGATATATAAATATCAAGATAGATAAATAATTAAGAAGGTTTATCACAACTATGTAGGTGGAAATTAAATATTTTCTGTATGTTGTATATTTGTTTGCCGATTACAATATTCTTGACAGTAGAAATAACATTGAGATAAAAATGACACATGGATTTCTAATGATGGATTGCAAATAATTATCATATTAATCACGAGTAATTCTCATTGCATATTATGTAAATAAATCTTTAAAAGAGTTTACTCTCGAAGATGTATATCTTCTTTGCTTCAATACCTTCGATAGAAACTTGTGTTTCATGATACTCGATTACTTCGTACAATTGCAATTACAATTACCGTGCATAAAATTATCATAAATGCATGATTAATCCCGGTTGCATAAAAGAAGATATATTTGATCGATGAATCACAAGCAACGATCAAAGATTAGTATGTTTGATCTCTCGATGCTAATACCGGCGATTTCTCAAGCAAGATGAGCATGTTTATCGTTCAAATAGACGATCGATTGCAAGCATGTCGAAAGAGCTATCATAATGGTGATAGACGATTACCGCGACAATCATGCGTCAGAAAGTAATACGGCGCTATTGTATTACGCTCTGTTAACCTGCAACGATGCCGTTAATGGCGTAATCGTGCGCAATGTAGCATACATAATCTTATTATCGTGACCGCCGTGGCGAGCCAGCGACATCAATGTAGATCGATCGGCCTTGGATTGAAAGATTGGAGGATTGTTGAATACATCACTGACAAGCGGAACCCCTCGTGTTATTATCGATCGCCTCCGGCCGAAGCTTGTGAGTGTGTCGATACCATTTATAGATTTGTCGCTCATATCTGAAAAGATTTGAAAGAAGAAGATTAAAATTGGTTGATAGTTAAAAAGTCCTCTTGAAAAAGAATGTACTTAAGACTATTATAATATATAATATTCCGAGAAAAAATTTGTTTATTTATTTATTTATTTATTTATAAACAGGAAAGAGATCCCTTTAGTACACAAAGAAAAAAGTGATTACAATTTCAACATCAACAAAAAAAAAAAAAAAAAATGCAGAAAAAGATGCTGAGAAAAAAAAATGAGAAAAGATAAATATTACAAATTACAAAAAAAAAAAAAGAAAATCTAACGAAGGTAATAAAATAATGATCGTTTAAAAGATATGTAGAAAAGATCCACGCGATCGGAAAATTCATTAGCCAATAAGCATAGCTGATTCAGAGAAAGAATATGAATTTGTCATAGGATGCACTTCCTCATAAAAAATCAAATTGTTTCTAAGAGGATTGGAAGGAAATTGTTTTATGTATATTAAAACACGCAAAACTTTATTACATTTATATTTATATTACTTATATTTTTTTTTTAAGAAAATACATTATGAAGTATGAGTAAACATATGTAAAGAGTAATTCTATAAGAAATAAGAAAATTTGTAAAATAGTGATCAGAAGCAAAGGGAGAGAGAGAGAGAGAGAGAGAGACAGAGAGAGAGAATTGCATAATTAAATGTATTTTTCCCGTCCTTGCGTGAACTTCTTAATTAAAAGTCTATGAAAGTTTATCGGTGAAAGTTTATCTCGACACAGATTTTTATAGTATCTTAAACTTTCATCTTATGTTAATGAGCGAATATTAACGGATAATTCTTACGAAAATTTGCAGCTTTGAGCTTTTTATTTTTTTTTTTTTGTCGCGTTTTCGTCACACCTTCATCATTCGCATTTGGCCATTTCAATCGCGATAGATGTCGAATAAGAAAAATATAAGCGGAGGAGAAAAGATAGCGTGCTTCCGTTTCACGAAGACCATAAATCCTACCAATAGCAGCGAATTATCTCTCGTGGCAATACTTCTTTATTTCGCGATAGAGAAAATGTAATATTATACGCGTGCAGTATATGTATATGAGCTGCCTGGCAACAAGTTGTAAAAATATTTTAGTGCTGTTACGAGGGGGGAACGCGACACTGATTGCTGACACTCTGTCGTTATCTTAATTACAAACTCTAGCATTCTGTTACTGGCGCACAAGTGCTATCATTGCTGCTACCATAGCTGCGGCTTGTAGTCTCCATCATCGTTAAATATCATCGTGTGACTATTATCAGTATTTTATTATTATCATTATCGTACTTGCTTTGAGTAAAAATGTTGAAATTACTTAAGAGTGTGAAAACTAGTCTCGTTATTTCTTAAGATTTTATGAATAGCGTTAATTTCTCTCTCTCTCTCTCTCTCTCTCTCTCTCTCTCGCGCTGGAAATAAATAGCGGTACTTTCTCCTATTGATACGCATTTGTATGTGTCGACATATCGCGTGCAAAGAAAAACATTTAATAATAAGAAATGGAATAAATAATTACGTTAAGAATAACTGTTGAGCCTATAGTGTGAAACTACACAACTGCTAAATAATTTTTATATCTTTTATATCCTTAATCGTTAAAAAAAGACACGTTTCACAAAAAATTGAAATTTATTATCAAAAAACAAATATGTGCGTTCGATACTGACAAAGTGTATGAGAAAGTACAAGAAAAATGCAGAGGCTGCATAAAAAAAAAAAAAAAAAAAAAAAAAAAAACAAGTGCAAATATCAGTATTTAAGATTAGAGAGGTAAAAATTATCTCTCGATTCCATTTATACGATCGATTTTATTCACAGTACATGTTGCGGAATCGATTTCGAGGTTTAAGAATTGAAATGCCAGGGCGGCCTGCAAAAGCCTGTGGCGCGCGGTGCGCAGGGTCATGAATCTAATTTCTCGACACCAGCATGCATTTGGCATTGACACGTGTGCGAACTGGCGAGTCGCGCCGACGATAGTGTCGCCGACTTTTTCCTGTCTCATCGTAAGTTGATGTTAAACCGAGCGTCACACGATTGCTAATCAGACGCGCGTGATAAGATTTCGCGCGCAAAATGAAGGCGTATCATTCGAACAATCTTAAATCAGTTAATCTAGACGACTAAGAAATTTGCGGCTGTCATAGAATTTGCTGCCGAGATTGGCAATCTCCTGAAATTTATTCTCTTATAAATATTATCCAGCTTATATACACACATAACTCTACGATACATGATGTTTTTCGAAATAAAGCAACATTGATCGACAGGCACCTAATTCTGTTAATGGATTAGTCGCCGGATAAACAGTGAGTTTTAGCACCTGAGAACACATTTAGCGTTTGATATAATAATTATGTACCAATAAAAAGTAAATAAAATCAAGGAAACTCAACGAAATTCGCGACATAAATGCGATATAAACATTTTGTACTAATATGATTTATAATATCGTAAAAAATAAAATGAAATGAAAATTACATATTTCCATTAGTTTATTATTATTTTGTTCATTCAATAATGCACCCGGAGTATTATTTATACATCTTGCTTCGATGGCTGTTTTACATATTAGCAAATTGTATTCGAGATAACGAGACATTTGCTAAATTTTACAACTGAACTTTAATTCGATTGCCACATATGTGAACATGTTAATTAACTTTCAGACGATATTACATCTCATATTATACAATGTTGCAATATGATGACTGTGTGGTCAAAAATAAAAGTAATTATCAGTGTTATCTTTGCACTTCCTCTGCCCTGAACGACATAGCGTTATGTAATTATGGCTATCGGACTACTAAGAAGCCTGAAATTCTCTTCATGTAATATTATCTCTGTGCGATATAGTTTATCTGGTTTTGAACCCGACTATTGCCATTAATTTTGACTTTAACCAGTCTTATATGCTGCTTAATCAGTAAATACGTCAGCAAGCTGACATTTTTTTAAATACGTGCATAATTAAAATTTCTAATATTATATTCTAAGAAGAACATCATAAAATGTCATTTAATATGTAATTACACATGACAGTAATTTAGTAATTTAGTAACTCGAACTTTAACATTTGTCGTACAAGTTCATGCATTGCTCGCTGATTAATCTCATCAATATTGGATGATTAATAATATCTTTTTCATTTCCAATTTCTTTTTCCAATATATTTTTCATTTTAAAATGTTTCCTTACATGATGAAAAATTATTCATTGCTGTTGCAATCTCACTTTGTATAATATATCGATACTAGAAAAGTTTATCTTTCTCTTTCTCTCTCTCTCTCTCTGTCATAAAATTGGAAGTTTTACATATTTTTTGCCACATCCAAGATAAACTGTAAATATTCGTATTAAATAAAGATTTTAAGTACGATCAAACGTTAAAAAGCTATCCGTATTTAAAAGCCAACAAATACATCGCGCGCAATTTCTTCAAATGTACGATTGGTATGCCAGGTACAATATCCCGGTTGAAGGTCAGAGAAGGGATCTCGATTAATCGATTAGCATTAGAGGCGCTTGCACGATAAAACGAAATGGATGAGGGGGATAGGAAGGGAAAGA